TGTGAAGACAGTAGCGCAAATCCGTGAATGAATGTTCCTAAGTGAAATAAACTTCAACGGAATAAAGTTGAATGGAATTGAATTGAATTAAAGTTGAATAAACTTCAACTTTACTGTTCAATGCACTGATGTCAGACTCATTTTGGATAATAAAGGATGTCCCACCTCCATTACGTATCTCTGTCACGTCATTATAAGTGTTTGATCACCACATTTGAGTGATCATTGCAAAAAATTTATTTATGTATATACTGCTTTAAGCAACTTGGGCTATGAGCTTCTCCCCCCTTCCTCCAGACTCTAGGACCTTGGTTTCCAAAGGAAATATAACACTTGCTCTCATCTGAAAAGAGGACTTTGGACCACTGGGAAAAAGTCCAGTTCTTCTTCTCCTTAGCCCAGGTAAGACGCTTCTGACATTGTCTGTGGTTCAGGAGTGGCTTAACAAGAGGAATACGACAACTGTAGCCAAATTCCTTGACACGTCTGTATGTGGTGGCTCTTGATGCCTTGACCCCAGCCTCAGTCCATTCCTTGTGAAGTTCACTCAAATTCTTGAATCGATTTTGCTTGACAATCCTCATAAGGCTGCGGTTCTCTCGGTTGGTTGTGCATCTTTTTCTTCCACACTTTTTCCTTCCGCTCAACTTTCTGTTAACATGCTTGGATACAGCACTCTGTGAACAGCCAGCTTCTTTGGCAATGAATGTTTGTGGCTTACCCTCCTTGTGAAGGGTGACGATGATAGTCTTCTGGACAACTGTCAGATCAGCAGTCTTTCCCATGATTGTGTAGCCTAGTGATCCATAAAGGATTATCAGTTGCATTTGTTATTGTTTGTTGTGGAGTTTATCTGTATAGAGTGCTATCAAAATAAAAAGCTGACTACCAAGAGTGTCACTTTTTGATTTGTATTCGCTGGTTTTATTCAATTTTCTCAATGATGGTAAATTATTAGTGCTTAAAGATGTATCATTTTGATTTTCTTCCAGTATTTCAAAGGGAATGAGCTGTGTTCTTACCTGAAGCACAAGAAAAGCTAAAATGTTGGGGTTGAAGACAGAAACCAATGAAACAACTTAATTTCATTTAATGTACATTCAAATTACAAAACATGTACATCATCACAATTAAAAGAACCAAAGACTTAAACTACCAGTCTGTGTGCATTGAATTTATTTAATACACGAGTTTCACAATTTGAGTTGAATTACTGAAATAAATGAACTTTTCCACGACATTCTAATTTATTGAGATGCACCTGTATATGTCACAGTTATACTACATTAACATTAGAATTGTAAACCAAAAAAATCAACAAGTGAGACAAGTGTGAGCTTTCACAATTTCTAATGAAAATTTATAATTTTCCAAACCTAACTAAATAACTGGAGGCAGAGTTATTTTTAACTCCATGTAGATCACAAACCTCTGAAATCGGTTGATAAATGTAAACGTTATCATGCTTTTATCCAGAAAAAAGCGCAGCTCCCCCGTTTACCTCCATTTATTTTTAAGGCAGTCTTGCCTTCACAAACATGGCAGACGCGTTGACGTATCGCAGCAATGGCTCAAAGCGGCCAATGAGGCGTCTAGGTATTTATTATGTCTATGGTGGAGGCTATTGTCGGACCCACAGACACATTTCATGAGGAAAGTTAACATGCACGTTATAATCAACCCAGAAGTTTCGTCTGAATTGAACGTGTTTCTACTTTCACATGCAAATTACTTGTTGCACTTATGAATAACTTTCCGGCATCAATTCTAGTAGGGTAAAACATAATTCCGCTTTCGAAACGGTCTGTTTTTCCCTGCCATTAGCTGAGGCTGTGTCTGAACAAGCCGCAGCTGCAGTCAGAGCGTGAGCTGCTCCATCTTATGCAGCCAGAGGGAGTTCCGCAACAACGCTTAGCTGCCCGCCAGTGCGCCTGCCTATAAATCTGCCTAATTTGCAGCACAATCGGCCGATGCTGATTAATTAAAAAATGCCAAAAATTGGCCGATTAATCTAGTCAGTAACATTGTCACTTTGAGGTACTATGTCTATATCATTAAGATCAATTCCATGTGATATCATTAAATCTAGCGTATGATTAAAATGATGAGTGGGTCTGGTTATGTTTTGCTTGACTCCAAAAGAGTTTATTAACTCTGTAAACGCAAGTCCTAACGCATCATTTATATTATCAATATGAATGTTAAAGTCTCAGACAATTAGTGCTTTCTCAACATTAACCAATAGGTCTGAGAGGAAATCTGCAAATTATTTTAGGAAATCTGTATATGGAGGTCTATACACAGTAGCCTGAGCAAGAGATAGGAGAGATTTATTTTGTTTATCTGACAATGTAACATTAAGCAGAAGTATTTAGAATGAGTTAAACCTGTATCCTGTTTTCTGAGTAACATAGAGAATGTCACTATATATTGTTGCAACACCACCGCCACGACCAATCTGACAGGGCTCATGCTTATAACAGTAGCTTGGTGGAGTAGACTCATTTAGACCAATATAGTAATTTGGTTTGAGCCAGGTTTCAGTCAAGCAGAGTACATCAAAACTATTCTCTGTGATCATTTCATTTACAATGACTGCTTTGGGTGCGAGTGATCTAATGTTTAAGAGCCTAAGCTTTAAAAAAAATGTTGTTCATTTATTTAGTATTTTTCTGCTTTAATCACGATCAGGTTTTTTCTAGATCCTGCATTAAATTTATATTTTGACCTCACTATTCGGGGAACAGACAGTCTCTATAGATTGGACAATGCAAGTACTTCTATCATTTAATTGGGTAGAACAAAAGCCATCAAATCAGTTATTTAAGAATTGGCTTACTAGTCATATGGAGCGTAGCGCCCTGGAGATGTTGTCCGACAGGAGTTCCGGTCCGACTCTGCTGGGGTGCAGGCCATCAGCACGAAAAAGCCTAGGTCGCTCCCAGAAAAGATTTCAATTATTAACAAAGAGCAGTTTATGTTCTTTACACCATGACAATAATCATTTGTTTAAAGCAAACAGTCTACTAAACCTTTCGTGTCCTCATCTATACGTGGGAAGTGGTCCTGACACAACGATCCTCGTCGCTGGCGATGTGCTGCATACCATCTCGATCAGGCTCTATTCAGAGTCTCCGTCTGCCGCAGCTTGGTGTCATTCATGCCCATGTGCCGGACGATGGAGTCTCTGATGACCACAGCATCACGTTCCATTTCGCGGAGGGGAGCGAAGTGGTTCCGGGTGGAGATCTCGAAGACCGGAGGCGGCGGAGGGGGAGAGGTCCTCGCCCGGGGCCTGGCTTGCATCTTCCGCTGCTGTTGCACCCAAGGTCTGTGGTGTCCAGGCGTTGGAGTGAAAGAGACCTGGGAAGATCGCGTCCTGGGTGCATGGTGCCTGTGCAGAGAAACACACGGAGTAGAGGGGGTGGGAGTGTTTGCAGCGTGCTGTATAGTTACCCTTAACATTAAAGGTTCTGTATTTTATGACCATGTAAACAGCATGACAAGGTAAATTGGAAAACGCCAAAGCTTGTCAATTCAACTTGCAGTTATTAATACTGTACAAATAGCCTGTGGTGTTTTGGCAGAAATGTATTTATTATAAATGTTACTGTTATTACTTATATTAAATATTGGGGAATATTTTACTTTTATAGAAGTTGTTTTTGTAGTTTCTACGTGTTTATGTTTTATTTTTTTATTATTAAAAATTCCATAGTTTTTATTATTTATTTATTTTAAAAACCATATAACCATGTTAATGAGGACCATGGTTTCTCAAGCCCCTGCCCCTTTAATCGGCGACGCTAAAGTGCCCTTTCAGTCAGATTTAGATGCCCCTGGACCGCGATTTCTATGGAGGGGGCATTACCGGTGGAACATAGAAGATAATTTGAGAAATTCAAGACATTTTTGTCCATACAGTAGAAATCAAACCAAAATGGTTTGTTTACAACATTCTACAAAATATCTTCTTTTGTGTTCCACAGAAAAAATTCAGTCATTCAAGTTTGGAACGACATGAGGGTGAGGAAATGATGACAGAATTTAATAGCAGTACATTTTCTGCATTCTAGCTCAAAATCAATGGTGTACTGTCAAGTGAATTTCTATGTGACAAAAATGCATTATTAAATTTGTTTCATTTGCTGTGAATTCAGTAATATCTATCATTATTTGTTTCTGTCCTGTTTTATTTATTCGTTTATTTACACCAATTTAAGGCCCTGTAACTCAGCAAAACATTCACCAGGGAATTCGTGGGCTGGATGGGCTAGATTTGTCCAGGGCCGAATTTTAACCCTAGTCCAGCCCTGGTAACGCCCACATCTCCTACCTATGTAATAAACACAGAAATGTTAGTCTCGTCTGAATCAGTATGTTATGTCACGTTATTTTTTTTTTCACAGTAGAGTCTGTGTACCATGATTTGTTGACGTAAATGCACCTCCTTTGCTCTGACATGAGTTTACTGCAATTCTGTCAGTCCTCTAGCTCAATGGCGCTGATGAGAATGTTGTCATTCAACAACATTTTATTTAATAAAAATCATGATGCATTCCGTTATCCGTTTGTGTGTTGACATCCGAAGCCCCAGTTCATCCATTTTGTTCACCAAAGACTTTTTTTGCAAGAAAGATGCTCGGGAGAGATGGTTGATGTGGATTTAGCTTTAGTTTAGCTGTAATGCTGCCCTGCTTCCCACATCTTTGTTTATGGTCTCGGCACTGATGCTGGGTCATCTCTACCAGACGAGCTGAATGAGCTGGATCAGCAGTCCCCATCCAGGAGCAGGACTAGACATCCCTGTAATAGGACAATGCCCCCCCCTCCCTTTTTTCAACAATGTTTTGCCATTTTCCATGAGATGCGTTGTAATAAAGGCACCAGTATCATTGGTAAACTTAAGTAAACATATTTTCCAGTCTGACATTGCACCATAAATGGTCATATTTAGAATGTGTCTATATTAATGTTAAAATTAATGAATTTTCTTGCAGTACTGTGGATCATTACACAGCAGGAATGCTGCTCAGTGGTGTAGGAGATGCTCTGGGTTACAGGAATCAGCTGTGGGAATACAACCAATCCGGCCCTGCCATCCACCAGGTCAGACATACAATACAACAATTCTTACTGTTAATAAATCTTTATATTAATATATATTTTTTAAATCATATTGTAAATGTATTCTTAATTTTATTTTTAATATTCAGTTTATTGTTAGACATATATCTCTATTACAGAGGAATATGGCTATTGATATTAAGGAATATCTTATATGTACAGAATCTGGGGCATGCTCTCACTACCACTGGAAATATTTACACCTGTCCTTCAGTCAGTCTGTCTTCCAAGTGTCATGTAGTGTTCCACTGTTATAACATACTACAATGGTATTGTGGTACCCAAGCCTCAAAATACTGGATTTCAGAGCAGTGTTATTATACATTACATTTACATTTAGTCATTTAGCAGACGCTTTTATCCAAAGCAACTTACAAATGAGGACAATGGAAGCAATCAAAATCAACAAGAGAGCAATGATATGCAAGTGCTATAACAAGTCTCAGTTAGCTTAACGCAGTACACGTAGCAAGTTTTTTTTTAATTATAAATAAAAAGAAAACAGAGAGAATAGGAAAAAATAGAGCAAGCTAGTGTTAGAGGCCTTTTTTGCATTTGTTAATTGTATAATAAATAAAAAGAAAACACATACATAGAATACAAAAAGATTAGAGAAGCTAGTGTTTTTTAAAGAAAACAAGCAGTTAGTAAATAAATAGAGTGCAAGTCTAAAAGGGGCAAGTTTTTTTATAGAATTAGAATAGAGACTGCTAGAGTTAGAGGGTCAAATAAAGATGGAAGAGATGTGTTTTTAGCTGATTCTTGAAGATGGCTAAGGACTCAGCTGCTCGGATTGAGTTGGGCAGGTCATCCACCTGAAGGGAACATTTAATTTAAAAGTCAGTGAAAGTGATTTTGTGCTTCTTTGGGATGGCACAATAAAGCGATGTTCACTTGCAGAATGGAAGCTTCTAGAGGTCTCATAAGTCTGAAGTAATGATTTAAGGTAAAGGGGTGCAGAGCCAGTGGGTGGTTTTGTAGGCAAACATTAATGCCTTGAATTTTATGCGAGCAATAGAGTGCAAGTCTAAAAGGGGCAAGTTTTTTTATAGAATTAGAATAGAGACTGCTAGAGTTAGAGGGTCAAATAAAGATGGAAGAGATGTGTTTTTAGCTGATTCTTGAAGATGGCTAAGGACTCAGCTGCTCGGATTGAGTTGGGCAGGTCATCCACCTGAAGGGAACATTTAATTTAAAAGTCAGTGAAAGTGATTTTGTGCTTCTTTGGGATGGCACAATAAAGCGATGTTCACTTGCAGAATGGAAGCTTCTAGAGGTCTCATAAGTCTGAAGTAATGATTTAAGGTAAAGGGGTGCAGAGCCAGTGGGTGGTTTTGTAGGCAAACATTAATGCCTTGAATTTTATGCGAGCAGCTATTGGTAGCCAGTGCAAATTGATAAACAGAGGTGTGACGTGCATTCTTTTCAGCTCATTAAAAATTAATCTTGCTGCAACATTCTGGATTAATGGTAAAGGTTTGATAGAACTGGCTGGAAGACCTGCCAAGAGAGCATTGCAATAGTCCAGTCTGGACAGAACAAGAGCTTGAACAAGGAGTTGTGAAGCATGTTCTGAAAGAGAGGGCCTGGTCTTCTTGATGTTGAATAAAGCAAATCTGCAGGACCGGGCAGTTTTAGCAATGTGGTCTGAGAAAGTCAGCTGATCATCAATCATAACTCCAAGGTTTCTGGCTATTTTGAAGGAGTTATGGTTGATGTGCCTAATTGGATGGTGAAATTGTGATGAAACGATGGGTTTGATGGAATCACAAGCAGTTCTGTCTTGGCAAGGTTGAGTTGAAGGTGATGGTCTTTCATCCAGCATGAAATGTCTGTTAGACAAGCTGAGATGCAAGCAGCTATCATCGGATAATCAGGATGGAATGAGAGGTAGAGTTGAGTGTCATCAGCATAGCAGTGATGTCATGTTTCTGAATGACAGAACCTAGTGATGCCATGTAGACAGAGAAGAGAACTGGTCCAAGAACTGAGCCCTGAGGCACCCCAGTAGTTACAGTAGATGTTGTGACTTGGACACCTCACCTCTCCAAGCTTTCTTGAAGGACCTATCTGAGAGATAAGACTCAAACCACTGGAGTGTGGTTCCTGAGATGCCCTTTGCCAATAATGTTGACAAGAGGATCTGGTGGTTAACCATGACAAAAGCAGCGGACAGATCCAGCAAGATAAGTATTGAAGATTTGGAATACGCTCTTGCCAGTCTTAGGGCTTCAACAACTGAGAGCAAGGCAGTCTCGGTTGAATGTCCACTTCTGAAACCAGACTGGTTGCTGTCGAGGAGGTTGTTCTGTATGAGAAAGGCAGAGACTTGGTTGAACACAGTTTGTTCAAGTGTTTTTGCAATGAAATGAAGAAGGGAAACCAGTATGTAGTTCTCTAAACTACAGGGTGGGTTTCTTAAGTAGAGGGGTTATACAAGCCTGTCTAAATCCTGAGGAAAAACACCAGTGTGACGGGATGTGTTAATGATGTGAGTGAGTGCAGGTACAACTGCAGGATAAATGGCTTGAAGGAAATGAGATGGCATAGGATCAAGTAGACAAGTAGTAGGATGATTAGAGACAAAGGAGGGAGAAAAATGTTTTAAAGAGCATGCGAGAGTTAGACAAATTATTAATTTTGTTATGATAGTATGTCCTTTTAGTAGTGGAGACATTAGCGGAGAAGAAAGAGAGGAGTGACTGATACACATTAAGGTCAGTAGGATTTTTTGATTTGCGCCATATCCTTTCAGCAGCCCTGAGCTTAGAACAAGAACATCAAACAGCCAAGGGGCAGAAGGGCTGGCCTGGAAGACAAGGGGCAGACAGTGTCTAAACAAGATGTAAGAGTGGAGCAGAAAGTATCAGTAGCACTGTTAGCATCAAGAGATGATAACTGTTTAGGGGAAGGAAGTGAAGATGAAACCATAGCAGATAGCCGGGTGGGTGTGAGTGTGTGTAGGTTACGTCGAACGATGACATGTGGAGGGGTATGTGTTGTGTCAGGAACCATGTTGAGGTTAAGAGTGAGGAGGAAGTGATCCAAGGTGTGCAGTGGAGTAACTAAATAAGGTCCAGTTGGTTGCCTGATTTGTGAGTAGTCTTAGTTAACAGTCTCTTGAGATCAAAAGAGGCAAGCAGAATGTGGAAGTCTGCAGGCTGAGGTTTATCTAGGTGGATGTTGACGTCTCCAAGCATAACTAGGGGAGTACCATCCTCAGGAAAGGTTGAGAGCAGCACATCTAATTCATCCAATAAGTTACCTTGTGGTCCTGGGGGTCGATAAACAACTACAAAATTGATTTTAAAAGGGTGGGTAATAGTGACTGAATGTGATTCAAAGGAGCTGGTAATAACCAGAGAAGGTAAAGGAATACATTTCCAATCATTAGAGATAAGCAGACCAGTACCTTCACCTCTTCCAGTCAGACGGGGAGTGTGGGAAAATGAGAAATTATTGGAGAGTGCTGCAGGAGTAGCACTGTTAAGCAAGGTGTAGAAGAGAAGATGAATCTAAAGCGATACTTATGTCCCTTGCAGTGTCCCTGCACGGTTGAGTCGCACAGTAGAGTCGATGATCTTTACACTCTTAATTCACGCGACCGCTGATGCAGTATACTAACATTTTTTTATACCCGTTTGACAAAAAGGAAATTGAACTCAGCTGAACACACTTTACTGTTTATCACAACAAAGGGCTAAGCAAGTGCACAACACTGACAAGGTATGCGATACAGTACGAGACCAAACGCGACTTCAGCACATATTAACACAGTAAAAAACACTGAGACAAGAAATAAATACACTTACGAACTGCTTTTAACTTCCACTGATTGACTGCTTCTCTCAAATAGTATTTCTTTACACTGTTTTGCTAGCGCTTGTATGGAAGAAAAATAATGAGAAATGTCTTTGAAACAAACAAGCATGTTGTATTGCATTAACTGAAAAAATGATGCATTGCATTAACAGGGCTTGCATTTTTAGGGTCTGACATTTAACATAGTTGTTTATTTAAACTGTGAATATTTCAATTCAAAACATCACACACATTTTCATAATTAAAAATCCAAAAATTTATATTCACCTTCCAGAGTTCCCTTCTGAAATATTCAATCTGTTTAAAAATACGATGTATAATATTCGACAGGCAATTTTCAGTCCATTTTATTTCACTTTACAAATTCGCTTCCACAAATTCAGTGGTTCAAATTTGGCAGAAAATTCAGCATTGCACATCCGGGAACTGTAGGAATAGCAGTAGAGTACCAATGCACGATCTGCATCTGCTGTTAGTCGCTTACCAGCAGGTGGCACAAGAGCAAAGCAACAGGTAGAGCAAGTCATTCATTCACAGAAACTGATCTGCAAAAATAATTAAGCAAGCGGTAGAAGTTATGATTATCAGGGCTAGTAGGTAAATACAAATACATTGGACGTTTTAACCTAGTGAGTGGATTGTCAGACAGTCCCTCATTCACCGTGTGATAACATGTTTTCTCCGGTTAAAATTTGCTGCTACAATACACGTGTCGGTCAGTCCTGTGTTCCGTGTCTTGTGTTTTCCTTCACAACATGCTTTCCATGACCCAGTTTTCCCTCATGTGCAATTATGTTATTGCTCCCAGGTGTGTCTCGTCATCCCCTCGTCATGTCACGTGTATTTAAAATGTTTCCTGTTCTGAGTTTGCTGTCCGGTATTGAATGTCATCTTTCCCCGCTACGTGTGTGTTCCTGGTTCCCTTGATGTCATTAAAGTCTCTTTGTTTTGAAGTATACTCCACGTCTCCTTGTTCCTCGCTCCGCACTCCCTCACAGTAGCGAACGTGACAGAATACCGGACCAGCAAAAGGTGAACGGCGTTTGTTTTCCATTTCTGAAAGTGTCTTTGTTTTCCGCCCCCCCCTCGCAATTACGCTGCTCGTTTCTCCGCCCAACAGCATTGGACGATGCAACCATCAACTCGCTGTTCTGAATCAG